TTCTCGCTAGGTCATACACGTCTTAATGGCCGCATTGGTGGTCATAAAATGTATGTATTTATTCATTTGGGTATCAATACCAACAATATCAAAGCACTTGAACGGCTCCCGCTCTGTACACACCCTGAACCCACTGCCCTGCTGTCTCTCAAGTTGGTCCTACTAGCGCGTCGGGCTAAGTGGCCTGTTGAATCCACCAACACGGTTCATGTACTGTCTGTACTCCGTCTTCTTCTCCTTGCGGACCGCACCGACGTTGTTCCCCAGCACCTTCTGGTTCTTGGTCGTGCCAAAGCCTCCGAAACCCAGCATAGCCTGCATTCCATCCATGCCGTCATCTTCGACAACAAGATCTTCCTCATCATCCTCTTCCATAGGGTCGTCAAAGCGGCCTCGTGCATGCTCCTCCTCATCCCGCTGGCGACGCTCGTCACGGCTGTCGTGACTTCCGTGTCGTGCTTGTGGTTCCATTGGATGACTACCCTCCCTGCGATCTTGCCCTTTGACCTTGAATGATACCGGGGCCGCTGGTACAGTGGGTGTTGCAGGCTTAGACCGAGTTGGGAGCGATGTGTCTGCCCCGTCACTGTTCCGCCGCAGTCCTGGGCTAGCAGAACGGCGAGGAGAAGCAGGCCGTCCGTTATTACTGTGTTTGTCTTTGGGTCCCCCGTCATCGTGATTTCTGTGGGTTTCCCTTCCTTCATCTCGTCGACGAACTGCTCTGTCTTCTGCGGCTCGAGGACGCTCGTCGCGGCGGTCGCGGCCGGGTGATCGCGAGCGCCTGCGATCCCGCCTGTCTCTTGAACGGGATCGATACCTGCGGAAGTTGCGATCTCTGCCCCGATCGCGACCCAAGTCTCGATCCCGGCCATGTTCGTCTTCTCGGTCTCTGCGCTGGTCGCGGTCATGGTCGTAGTCTCTGTCTCTGGGGCCCCTGGATGGCCTGTCCCTCCGACCAGAATCATCATAGTGCGGTCTGTCGCCCCCTCCTCCTCGGCGGGAAGACCTATTCGACCGGTCTGCCATTTGCTGCGTTTGTTTGTCGCTGAATAGAGGCGACGAGAGGGCTCGGGGGAAAATAGTGGGGTGCAGTGTTGCGACGCTGCGAGCCTGTGACGTTTCTTGTTCGGGAAAGCTGGGCTAGCCACGGCTAGGCCGGCGACAGCTCCGGGCATAGATCCAAAGTACCATGAGCGTGGCTGGAGCCGCGCCACACTATCCTTGCTAATCGCAAGGACTTCACAGGGAGAATTCTACCATTCACGCAAGTGGAATTGGGCGCTTAAATATAAAGCGAGTATGGTTAGGATTGTTTAAGGCCAACCCTTCATTTTCTCCTCGTTGTGTCTTTGCCCGATGCTGGCACAGTAATGTGGCTGGTGCTGAGGTACTTAGCGAGCGGGGGGTACGTCCGTTTTCGAGCTACGCCAAAGAGGCAAACACCAGCTTCGTTCAGTCGTTGAACGGCCAGCTTTGGTGCTCGCACAGCTTCTCTCTCGTCAGAGCAGGTGGCCATTGCTATTCTGCATCTAGCCAGTTCGTCTGCTTTTTGTTCCGGTTGTTTCCCAACCGCCCAGTCTTCGCTCTACTAAAACGCCGTGCAGCCGACTCAGATTACACTGCTGCAGACTTTGTCGTGCATTGCGCCTGCCACGCCTGCCTTCGAATTGCCCCGCCACGGATGGCATCCTGAAGCTTCGAATCGCACCCACCAGCCCAGAAGCAGTGTTTTGGAGAAGGACCCGAAAGAGGCACCAGACGGGAAGACTGAGCAGGCTGCTCTGACAAGTCTACACCATGGCCCAACCCTCCGAGAGCGACATCGTGACGGTGATGTCTATCACTGGCCTCAGCGACCGCAGTGTCATCGTCCAGGCGTTGCAGTCAAAAGACAACAATGTCGAGGCTGTCATGAACGACTATTTCGATTCTCCCGAGAATGTTGGTCTCGCCAAGCTGACCCTTCGCTCCGCGCTTGCGCTGACCAGTCCCAGTTCAGCAACAAATATTCCTGGGACGAGGACGTATTTGGCTCGAGTCGTGAAGGAGATTCGTCTTCTGCCAACAACAGTAAAAATCCATGTGGGCATCCAGAATCTCAGAAAAGCTTGCATTCATGCTGACATCAATCCCTCTAGCCTTCGCAATCCACCCAGCCGAGGGCAACCAAGTCATATACGGGTCCGATCCCGGGTACTATGGCACTCACATTGCTCCTTCGCGGCCTCCTTCGCGGGCAAATAACAGATCACCCATCGCGCGGATGGTCGACATGACAACTAGCGATTTCCCGGGGGCGGCCCCGAACAGCCAGCACGACGAAGATGCACTCGTCCAGCAAGCGATGATCGAGTCCCTGAAATCCTCCAACAGTCCCCAAGGCCTGCCGCCCCCGCCCCCACAACAGTCCGGAGTCACACCCACTGTAGACTCCGGAGTGCACTTTGGCCCGGCCAACCGGGACGATTACAAGACGGAAGAATGGGCCATGGTGCCCGCGAAGCGCCGGGAGCCGGATCCCGACGCGTCTGCTAGGAAGAGGAATCCCGACACACCGGTGTTCCTGAGATGTCGCGATGAGAGTGGCTGGGCTAGCCATCGGGTCGGCGGAGTTCTGACGATCCTACATAACATTCCCGCCGCCCGGAATGCCTTGCTCCGGATTGGCATCCAACCCGATTATGGGTATGGCAATAACTCCGAGTGGTGGAAGGGTACAATCATCTTGCCGCCAGACCGATTAGCTCTCAAGGAGGCCCAGGCTTCCGACATATGGGAGCCAACAGTCTACCCACCATGGTCCGACGAGATCCATCGCTTGGTCGCCTTTCTGGATAATACAGAGCGAAGCTACGGAACGGCAGATATTCTGGCTGAAGCCCACGAGGCCCATTCTGGGATTGAGATTAGCGGGGATAGAGAAAGGGATTTCTTCCAAAAGTTGAACCAAGACCCATCCCGGGAACGGGATGTATTCAGGGCCTCTATCGACGCAGTCACAACAACTGTCTCAGCAACAGGCAAGTCCTCGACGACACAGCAGTCAGAGTTTACTATCCTGCTCAGCGAGTTCTCAAAAGACCAGCTTCTCATGGCGGAAAGCTTGTATAGTATATGGGACATGATGTTTTTTACACATACTGGGGAGTCGGGCGAGGGCTCCGAGAGTTCACAGATGGCGTCGATCACGAAGCCTTCCGAGGTCCTTGCGTTCCGAATCGGTGCCGAGGGACTCCCGACAGCCATCGAGATACCAGAAACACTTTATATTGACAGGTATCTCTCCAGTCACCTTGACGAGATGAGGCAGATCCAGAAAGAACTTGTCGACATACATACTGCTTACCAAAAGAGCCGAGAACTCGAACAGAAACTTACTCAGTGGGTCAACCCCAAGACTGGCAAGGCTTGGGATCGGAGGGTTATGGACAAGGTCGGCATCAAACGGTGCCAGGAGAGGATCACACAAATCAAAAATAGGGCATGCTGGCGAAATCATGAGCAAGCACATGCCCAGGGGGATGACACCGACTACTATCTCCCCGACCACGAGGGAGACCCTACCCTGCTACCCGAAGAGGCCGAGGTGGTCGCACATTACGAGGCGCAGGTTCAGCGACTCGAGGCGAACCTGGCAAGGATTGACCAAGTAATGAACGGTGAGTTTCGACTTGAAGATACGCCGGCCCAGGTGATGGCGCTAACGGCCCCCAACAGATGAAATATTGCCTCGGAGGAAAGCACTGGAGATATTTTCACGCCACGTTTCTTCGTTGTTGACCGTTCCATCTTCCGACCCAAGATGGAACCCAACGCACCGGTACACTCTCCGAGGAGTTATCAATGACCACCGGAAGGTCTTCATTCGGAAGCGGGAAACGTCTCTTATGGAGCTGGACGAGGATAGCGCACCGGCTGAGCAATGGTGGAAACTCTCGTGCGAGGAAGACAATGGCTACATGGTAGCCAGTGAGGTAAATAAGCACAGGTTGAAAATGAGATGCCCTCATGCTAACTTTCAATCTAGGCAACGACTTTTGAGGCTATTGCGCGTGAGGCTTGTGGTATCGGCTGCAAGCCCATCCTCATCTACGCAACAGAATCGGCCATGGACGAGGCGCCGGACTCGCTGCCGGAACCGCTAAAAACCTTTGTTCGGTTCGACAATCGACACTTCAAAATGGAACTAACCCAAGCAGAGGCGGAGCAACCGGACCCTCTGCAGGAGATGTCGCACCTGTCAACACTTCGAGCCGCGGGGCTTTACCTGAAAAAGAAGAGGTCGACTGATAGCATGGACTCCATGGCGACCAACCAAGCGTCCGCGGGAGACATTGATGAGGACATGCGAGACGCCTCACTTGACGGCGGGCTCGGCAACGACGGTGCATTGGGTCAAGACCCGGACGTTCAAGAGCTGGTGGACACATCAGTCATGGACAACAGTCTGTCAGACCAACAACCGTCATTGCTACCGACAGTTTCGCCGCCGGCGCAGGAGATGCAAGAACGAGCAAATGTGCCGCTTATGACGCGGCCATTGAGCGGCATTTTTGAACCCACAACCACGAGTGTTGATATGAGGGATATCTAGCTAGAACTGCCGCAGGACAACGTTGGAGGCTTTTTCACATGGCAGCAGTGTATGACCAGGGAAATGGCCATATTTAGGCAAACATCCCATTGCATTTGGGTGTAGCGTTGTCAGATAGTGGAAGCATATGATACCCGGGCATTAAACCATCTAGCTCCTAATCTCCCTCTTTTCCCAACTTGCGACTAAAGTACCTGCGGGTTGCCTTTTGCTCTACTAACATGGATTGTCAACAAGCGAGCACCAGAGCTCCCGCGCCGCTCAACCCACACGGCAGTGCAGCGAGGTAAGGAGCGATTAAGTACAGCTAACATATTTAGATACCGCTAGCGCAAACCAATGCGGTAAGAATATCCTATCTACGTAGCAGTATCTGAAGAAAGCAAAAATCAAACGAAATGGACCTTGCGACATTCGAGAATCGAACTCGAGTCCTACGTAGTCTCACGTTGGTATGGGAAACGTAGATGCTAGCCACTACACCAATGTCGCGCAAGGGAACCGCGAAGTGCCTCGGTCTCTAAGGGAACCCTCTGTCCAGGCTGCTTAAACCGTCCGTCTTACATGTCGCGCCTGAGCCGTTGAGCCGGAATCGAATGGGAAGGGAAGGGAGCACAATCTGGAGGGGAGGAAGTTGTGATTGGTTTGGAGGGGAGGGTTGCCTCTGGATGGGATGTCGTTGGATGAGCATCGTGATTGGCTCGAGCGGTGCGTTTGACATGGTGGGGTTGAGGAGCAGCGGGAGGGAAGCATGTGGGGCAAGGCGGGGAGGTCGAAACTCCAGACGGCGGGAAGCTCTGGAAGCTACGGCGGTGATTGTGTCATAATCCAGATCGGGCACACCCATACCAACCAGCCTGCCCATTGACGCCGGCACTTCATCTTGTAACACAAAAGGAACTTGGGAGCAGCACCACCACAGAGATCGACAGGATGGCGTCCAAAATCGAACGCATCATCGCGCGGCTGCAGAAGCGCATCGCTGAGGGCCAGCCTGAGGAGCAGTACGAGGCGCAACAGGAGACACGACTCGTCGCTGCGCGGTACACAAAGGCAAGCAACTGGCCCGCGGCCATCGATATTCTATCGAGCGTATCGCAGGCGCTGTTGAAGGCAGGACAGGGCGGTAGCGGTGGAGACCTGGCAATTCTGCTAGTGGACGTGTACAAGCAATCGAGCACAAAACCCGATGCGACATCCAAGGGTCGGCTTTTGACATGCCTGCGATTGTTCGACAGCGAGGAGCCAACGCGAAAGAAGTTCATCAAGGAGATGATGGAGTGAGTGCTCCTCTAGGCGGCCGGCGCTTCAGGGATGGGGCTAATGCGCATCACAGCTGGTCGAGAAAGTTTGGCGACTACCCCGCCGGGGACCCCGAGTTGCACCATGTCGTAGGGTCACTATACGTAGAGAAGGGAGATGCCGAAGAGGCAGAGAGGCACTTGATATTGGGCACAAAGGACTCCCCTGAGGTCCTTACCCGGATGGAGTACGAGTGGTACAAACAAGATGAGTCTCACACAGCACCCATCTACGCGGCCCGAGCTATCCTGCCCTATCTACTTGTCGCCAACGTTCGCGCCGCCAATGTCTCGTACCGAGCGTTTATCAGTATGCTCAGCGAAGAGAACAAGGGTCTTGGTGTCCAGGACGTGAGCTCCCAGGGTTCCGACGTCCGAATCTTCCCGAGCTTGCCATTGCTCAACTTCCTTGGCCTCTTGCTTCTCGCTGTTCAGAAGGGCAGCCCCGATCTATTCAGGCAGCTGAGGACTAAGTACGCAAGCAACATTGCTGAGCTAGGGGGTGCGTGGGACCAGGCGCTGGAGATGATTGCCGAGATGTACTTCGGCATCCAACGGCCGCGGCAGAGCAATCCGCTGTTTGACATGATGGGTAGTCTGTTTGGCGGAGGCGCTCCAGGGGGAGCAGGATCTAGGCCGGCTGCGCGACGCGTCGAGGCAGCGCCTACCGCCGAGGGTTTAGACTAGAGGAGAGCCGACACGCCCATGCAACCAGGCAGAATAAAGCAATTTTATCGCCAAGATAGGTAGAACGGAATGTTGCAATAAAAGGTCGCTCGCTGCCTAGCCATACAGAACCCAAAGGATGTAGAAAATGGAATAAACTAAACCACCCCATTACTGGTGACGTGGTAGTTCCTCCCGCTCGAACATCCAGTTATCCTCCGCCAACGCCGCAACCTTGGCCCTCAAACTCGCCCTGACTGCTTCAAGCAACTCTGTCCGACTCATTAGCCACCTTTAACAAACCCCCAAGCAAGTCAAGAGAAAAGAGAACTCACCTTCAGGTTGCGCCGGAATGCTATTCTGCCCAATCTGGTGCTGCTTCACCGCCTCAGCCAGCCTCCTCCTTTCCCTCTCCCCTTCCACCCTGGCATCCACACCCACCTCCTCCGCATCAATCACTGGCGTAGGTGGATCCCCAATCTCGATCTCCCCATTCTTACCCCGTATCACAATATCCAAGTTTCCTATCTCCACCCCTGCCCCCGACCCAGCACCAGGCGGTTGAAGCTGGACGTCGGGATCTAGTCGCAGTGTTTCGGCAGAACCGGTGGAGGATGAGACGGAGCCGGCGGTTGGTCGGCGGGTCAGCTGGCTTTGGAAGAGGTTACGGCGGACGTTGGTGGAGCCGGATGAGGAGGTTCCCGATGGTGCGGCGCGCGATGACGTTTTGGAGACGCCTCCAGGGGGTGGGCGCGGCTGGCGGTCTGCCATTTGGAGAGTTGCCGCGATTTTTGGACTGTAGGGGCGTGTATAGTGTGAGAGGAATCAGTTCTATTTGAACTAGACGGCTTTCCGAGTCGAGGTAGTTATGTTTGTGTCTGCAGCCGTACGCGGTGATCTACTCGTTTGGTTGACGCGGGCTGAAGCGGCAGCGGGGTAGATTTGTGGTGGGGGCACGCACTGGGCGCGGAGGATCCCAACGCGAGCTCACGTGCTAATCTCACAGCAGGTTGATGGGGACTCCAGATCCACAGGATGGATAACCGAAAAGGGGCTATGTTGTGAAGATTCATAAACCCAGAATATATTTTGGTCTATGTCACCCTGACCTTGATACGAGGCCATTCGCACAAAACGCCGCTTTTATGCCCAAGTAAAGATTCCGTTGGAAAGCACACCCAAAGCCTAGGTCAAGCGCCCCGTCAGCCGTTGTGAAGTTGATACTGTAGTCTCTGAACCCACCCGGTCTCGTCCCTCATCTCTTCGTCATCAAGTCGTAGCCCCGACCAAGGTAGGAAGAAGATAACACAGATTATCAAAATCTGCTAAATAAAAATAACGAGGCAGGGGTAACCCCTTTGCCCTGGGTACAAATTCAATGTTGCCTTCCCTCTTCGAACTGGCCGTGCCGCGATTCCCCCTGAACCAACACGAAGAGCCGCCAATCCCTCTGTGGTGGCCCTAATAGTATGTTGTACACTGCTGGGTCTCGAAAGTGTGGCAGAGGCACAATCACCCTTGTTCAACGGCTTTCCCTTTATCGGACGACGTATCAACCGACCTGAGTAACAGCCTCAGACTTTTCTGGCTCAGCGTATCCTGCACCTTGGAAGAAGATCCTACGGCTTCTTTTGGTTGTGTTCTCCACGGAATCCAGCTGCTCCATGCATGGAGTCCCGCGTGGGTGTCGTGAGAGTTTTCCTGATGTGGAAGCTCATCAGCCAGATGGACCTCGACCTCCTGAATGGGCGAAGAAGGAGTGCTATCGCCGTTGTCAACCGGGGCGCCTTCAGGGGTTGTCCTAACTCCAAGGTTGGTGTTGCTTGTTTGTGGTAGAGCCGGATCGCTAACCAGCGCAGCCGCAGCGTCATTCTTCCCGATGCTGCGATTATTGTCGATGATGGCCGTCGCGAACGAAGCCGACTTTTTTCGCCCCAAAGAAGCCTGGGAGCTTCGTGGATGGGAATTGTTATTTGTTCCATGCTCAAGGCCTCCGGCTGATCCCGATTTTGAGCCCGAGCCGGTAGAACTATCCCACTTCTTCCTCGCGGCCCTTCCCCGAACCTCGTCGGCAATCTCCGCCGCCGGCTTCTTCTTGGTTTTATCCTCCTCAGAAGACCGACTCGATGACATTATCGTCTCCAGAGTCCCGTAGGCAACGCTCTTCCGCCTACCGCCGCTCCTCCGTTTCCCACGCGAGCGATTGGCAGTGCCATCGTCATCGTCCGAGTTGAAAGCTTGTAGCGTGGGGCCCCCAGGGTTATGGCCTTTCCTCCGATGTCCCGGGGCCGTAGAACCCGCAAAAGACAACCCAGAGCCGTGTGGTGCCAAGTGAACTTCGTACTGGTTACTCAGAGAATACCTCGATCGTGCGCATATTTCTGCTATGCGGTCCAAATCGGCGCCGATGTCGTCCTCGCCTCCGCGAGCCTGCATGTCGGCGAGGAAGCTCTTGAAGGAAAAGGCCTCCAAGGGAGGTAATTTTGCCTCGTCATAGTCCGAGCGTCCAGTTTGCCATTGCCATGGTAGCGGTAGCGGTAGCGACAACGGCAGCGGCAGCTTGCCGCTGCTCTTCTTTGGCGTATGTCGTGGCATGCTCAATCCGCTTGCTCGACTCCCATCCCCTCCCAAGCGGTGGCCTGTATTTGTGGTGCCTGCGGCAGTACCGCTCAAGGCAGGCTGGGTAGGCCTCCCCGAGAGGTTCGTGTTGCTCTGGCGGGATGATGCGGGTAGTGGCACGCGTCTTGAGACGCCTCGACTACCACTTGATGGCCGGTAGCGGGGGCTGCGGACACTGTGCGAGGCCTGAGACGGCGGTGGGCCGCTATAGGTCCGCACCAGCACCGGTTGAGAATAGGTGCTGCTCTGGGCTCCGGCACTCTTGGTATAGCGGTGGCGGCGAACCTCGGACGGATACGTGCTGTTCAACTTTTGGAGTGCCGAAGTGCGGTGGGCAGCTGTGGTGTTGTCGAGCGGGATGGGCCTGCCTTGTGCTGTCGATGGGGCAAGCGACGTTGACAGCGACTTGTTCAGCTGGAAGAGTGGTGGGAAAGGAATGGGGAGAGGGAAAGAGGCCTTCTTGGGCTGAGATGTCGGCTCGGTGGATGGCGGCCCGGGGGTAGGTTCTGAGTCGGGCAGCGTGGAGGAGGAAGTGGTGGAGATATGTGCTGTCGACGGTGCTGTCGCTTCGCAATGGTCCGAAGGAGCAGAGTCCCGCTCTGGCTCTGCCCCGCCCGGCGGGCGAGGAGCGTGTGGTTTTGTATACATGGCATCAAGAATTTCGCGGCGTGCGAAGGGCGATGAGCAATGGGGCAGCTGCAACTAGGCTGGGGAGGCGGGCTGCCGGGGTTGCAGCATGCAGTGTGTCGTGGTGGCACTGGAGCGTCCCGGACGGCGGTCGTGGAGGAGACGGAAGCACGATCACGGGCGGTACGAGAACAACATTCCGCCGTGCGTCTCTCGCGAACGCTGCAAAATGCCCACCAGGTCCGCTGGCGACGTGGGCCAATGTGTCTGGTCTAGCGA